GCGGAGGCTGATCGTCGTCCAAAATTTGTAGTGTAGTAGGTGCAGGCTTAGGCACGGCTAAGACTTAGTGTCGACCTTGAAGATTTCGGGGACCTCGGATTCGGATGCCAATGTCTTTTACGACTTTCTATTGGCATCCCACTTCTGACACCAATTTGTTAGGAGGCCGATCCCGTTAGTCTTTTTAAAAAAAACCACAAAATAAACCTAAAAGTTTATTATAAAGTTCACACACAAACTTTCATAAATTCTTGACTTCCGAACTTTAACGCGTCTCGGAATCTATGTCCGATCTATCCGGGGCTCTGAGTCTAACTAACTTTTAAAATAAAATTAGAATTAAAGTTGAAAAAGGAACAATGCAATTGCTGACTAAGTTAATGTAAAGGAAAAATACTTTTAATTAAATAAATGCTTACTAAGATTTAACTGCCTTGTAAAAAGGGATATAACAGAACGACTAATTTTAACTTTTTTATTTAAAGTAAACCTTTGAAAGAAAGTTGTGTTTCAAAGAGTATATTTTCCAGGTGGTTCTTATATAAATTTTGGTCGTGCGGTTTTTAAAAAAAATCAAATAAATAATTTTTAAAAATAAATTGTTAATCGAATATGTTATTAAAAAACTTTCTTCTTACAAATTACCTGCTTATTACGTCTACACTAAAAATGACAATATTATATACTACATATACACATATTATTATTTACAGCCGACAATATTTTAAGACATGAATATCTAATAGGTAAATATGTATTTTACGTATTGAAATATATTAGATTTCCTTCGCATCGGCTGGCACCGACTTCGAAAATAAGTACCCCATTATCTTTTATTCATGTATTTATAATTATTGAAAATCTCAAAGTGATATGTTGCATGATGTGCGCTTCATATTCTATCTTTTAATCACCAAGAATAAGAATAAATCTATTTACCTAACTGTATATATACCAAAATTCAATATTCAGAAAAAAAGGCTTAGATGGACAGATACACAAACAAATATATAATATATTTATATTAAAACATATATGTACACGCAAATGTATTTCGGCGTCATTTCTGTTTTTTTTTTTATAAATTTATAGACATTTCTATGAGTATGATGATATTCGCGTAAATCTAAGAAAGTATTACAGCCACAAAACTAGAAATGAACTATACATAAAGTATAGAATATACGTGCTATTTCCATTTCATCCATAAGAAATATATGGGTACATTTTTACCTTTTGATTTACGGAACCCTAAAAACGGAGTAATTTCAGATATCCCAAAAGAATATTTAGTTTAAATATTTGTTTCAAAGAAAAGGAAGCACAAGTAAATAACAGTTTTTGAACCTAATTTTTATGTATGAGTTCAACTAAAACACAGCTTATGTTTTGGACAATGCCACTTAATTTACTATGCGAAGATATAAAGAAAATGTATGTTGGAATAAGTTACTCTACATTTATGAATAAATTGTCTTCACGATAGAGTTTTTTCGTTAGAAATGTAAAGAAATAAGCTTTTTGAATTCTTTATCTACAAATTTTTTGAAACACTGTGTGATTAAAAAACTAGAAACAATGGACTGATTTTCATACGATTTTGCATGAAAACAAATTATCCGGATAGGTTATATGCATTTGGTTGTGTTGTTGTGTTGTTGTTGTGTTGTTGTTGTGTTGGTGTTTTATATTGGGAAATACATTTACGCATACCACTGGCATACGTACTGTTTGTTAATTGGTGACTCTCTACAAAATAGCTTATCGTAGGACTATTTTTACTTTTAAGCACAAAACTCCAATGGCTGGCCCACCATGATTTTAATTAGTTTTATAATTGAATATGGAATATTATTTATTTAATTTTTGCTGTTATCATTATAATTATTACAATTTGAAAAATATTAATTAGTAATCTATATTTAGTGTTGCCATTATTATATTTATAACCATAAAGAAAAAAATATAAAATATAATATTAATTATTTAAGCCACATAATTGTTCTATGTGTAATTTAAAAAGCTAAAATTAATTAAGAATAATAATTTTAATTTAGTTTGCTATTATTCAAAAAGACAATTTACTAAGCAACACTATTACTATATACTATTACAAATGAAAAATGAAACATCATTTTTCATTTGTAAAAGTATACAGTAATAGTGTTGCTTAGTAAATTTATAAAAATGTTTAAAGGTATAAAATATTGTAAGGTACTTGATGCAATTTTTCATTTTGTTAATTGTGGGTAGGCTGTCTGTAACAACTATACCTTCAAGACATCTAACACCTCAGTCTCTCGCGTGACCACGATTGCTGTAAAGCATTCGAAACGTCGGGAATCAAAAATCAAAATAAATCCGCGAAATATTCCGAAAAGATAGTTTTATTTAAAATATTATATTTTCCTAAAATTTTCAATAAATGGTTGAATATCGAGCGAACCAAACGCGGGTCCAGTCCTCAAAAAAGTTGTGCGAAAATTAGCTAATTGTACACTAATATATAATTAGCTAAAAAGGCAAGGTGGATCCGCGCTTGGGGCGAACACTAGTTTGTTTTGATAAACATAATGTGGTGAAACCCAAAACATATCGTTGGTAAAGTCGAATAATTTACTACTTAACTTGTACCCACATGCATTTAACAGTCCAATTTATTATCTCTAGTGATAATTACGAAGGAATTAGAGCAAAACGACGAAACTTTTAACGTACATATGTTTATATTTTTGTCATATTTCTAGTACAAATGTTGTTTATGAATGATTCATTATAATGATAGAACAATGTTGATTTAAATTGTAAATAAAAATTGAATCTTTGAAATTTCAATTAAATTTTTTTGGTAATTGCTCAAAAATGGTTGAATTCTTCTTCAATAATGTCATAGATTTACGAATATTTGAAGTTTTAAATGAAACTGTTTTTTCGGACGCTTTCCGTAAAATAAACCCAGAAAAAAATCACAACAAATATTTACCTCACAACAAATAATTACTTTTTAAATTCACTGTCTTCCAAATCACTTTAAAACCTGTACCCGTAAATTTCTAAGAAATTAATTAAATTTCTATGAAATCTATTGTTACACGCTGGCGTGTCCGCGGCCGTGGAGGGATTAACTTTTATGAGTATATAGACATATGTATTTTGTTTTGTTTGTAAATGACCATATTATATGTATAAGGTATGGGTAGATGACAATATATTTTTATTAAGAAAATCGATTTGCAACTGGCCAGATATCGAATAATATTGACACAAAACATGCACCCGAATTGAGTACCGAGCACATCCTCCTGTTGTTAAGTTGGTAAAAATACACTACTTTGTTAATATAAAATAATACGTTTTTATAAATTGAAATGATATAACAATTATTGTGGATCATAAAATCTAACTTCTGGCTAAATCAATTTTAATGAAATTTTATTTTTTGTATCACTTTAAATTTGATACTTTTTATTTATGTACATACTCGTATATGTATAGTTTTCCGCTATATCAGATCTCATATGAAACGGGGTAATAATTATAAATGATTTAGGTATAATATATTACGGTTTATTGTATTATGAATGTCAAAGTAAGATAAATATATAAAAACTAGTGACTCACCATCGCTCCGCTCGGGTTCGTTTGCTTCGTAAGGGATGAACCCGAGCGAAGCGATAATGGGTCGCTAGTCTATACATATAATAAAATTGTAACTAAGCCGAATCTGTACATTAAATATTTTTTGGAAAATCTTATTGAAATACACATTATTATCGATACAGAGGCCGAATCTATAGTTTTCAGAATTTTTGTCTGTCTGTCTGTCTGTTACCGCATCACAGGAAAACCACTGGAGGGATTTTGATGAAATTTGGTATGGTTATCCGGGTCAACATACAGAATACTTTTTACCGCGAGAAAATGTTTCATTTCTGAGAAAAAATACAAAAACTGCAATGTAAGAGTATACTAATATGAAAAACCTAAGAATTTGGTATTTGGTTATCTGAACGCGGGCGGAGCCGCGGGCAATGCTAGTGTATAATATATTTATATACTGTACAGTGTACATAAATGTTTATGTATGTATCATTTTACGGCCGAAGCAAATCAGGTTGCTTTACTAGTGACGATATAAAATTAAACTCTTCTTATGGAATATTTACAATTTGTTAAATGTCAGTCAAGACATCTTATACTTGTTATAATCGAAGTATTTTATGAGCTTGTAAATACAAGTATTGTTAACTAATGTCATGTATGGAAAAAAACAAAGATTATTTTTTGTGCTTTTAATATACAGTATATTATTATGCTTAGTCTATGATTTTTTGTCTATATTCGTTTAAAAATATAAAATTAACCTTCCTGACATAGGTTAATCAATGTCCAGAACAAACGACTGGACCTAAGGGCATACAATTTTGGTACTCCATTCCTATAATGATAGCAAGCCGCTAAGAACATTTGCGTACTAGTGTCATACAACGTTTTTTAGCTTCGCCTCTAGATAAACAAAAGAATACCTACTTGTTTTTATATAGAAAACTGTAATAATCGAAATTTCCTTCATATGAGTTAGATTATAACATGTGTACACGTGGCAACGAGATATTTACAGTCTTCCCAATATTTCCATATTATACATGTATTTTTGTGTGTATGTATGTATTTGTGTATGTATGTATGTATGTATGTATGTATGTATGTATGTGTATAAGTATGTATTTATACAAATACACCGCCTACCATTTTTATATACTGATTCCTCTACCCTAAGGTTGCCTGGAAGAGATCGCTTCTAGCGATAAGGCCGCCTGCTGTGCATCTTTTTATTGTTATGTATTTCACTTCTTTATTTATTTTCTTGTGTGGTGTGTAATAAAGTGTTCATTATTATTATTATTATTATTACATAAATGTCACTCCCTTTTAACGTGAAAGCAGGACAAACAAATAAACATACCTAACAGTTATAATACTAGTATAAATACTTTCAGGTTCCTCTACAGCAATGCTCAAATGGACAGACTTGTAACGCACATTTAGGTCAATGCTCCAACGATGCAGTGCCAGAATGTGAAGAGATAACGCAAAAGTACAGCCATGTTTGTGAACAGGTGAGCTTTTTATATCAACACTACTTCTATGTATTATAAAGAGGAAAGATTTGTATTTTTGTATGTTTGTAATGAACAAACTCAAAAACCGATTTAGATAAAATTTGGTAAGAAAATAGTTTTTTATTCCGGTAATCATCTCTTAAGAGCGTGAAAATGGGGATAAAAGTTTGTATGGGGAATCAACCTAGGGACGAACCCGATCGGAGTGAGAGTGAGTCGCTAGCTCTTAATAATTATCAGCCCTTTTTAAAGTTTAAATGCTAGGGATCAGACCATACGTCCACCACTGGCCGAGTATAGGTTGGCGAACTTCACATGTCTTTTGAAAACTTGCTATATTCTTCAGGTATTCAGGTTATTTTCACAATGTTGTCTCTTACCTTAAAGAAAGTGGTAATGACGGAGAAAATGATTTGCAAATGAAAACCTCAGAAATGAATATAACTCGCGTCACCTGGTTTTCCAAATAAGCACATTACCACTAGAGTACCACTGCTTTAGTTATATTCTTATCTTTATAAACACGTACATACATATTAGAAAATACGAGAAATACGAGTCGTCTACTCAAAGTCAGTGGATCACGCACCACGGTCCACCACGAAAGGAGGAAATTTTTAACATAGAAATATGCTATTTTACCAAATTCTAGTATACATTTAGATATAAAATTAGAAAAAGAGAATTAGATTTAAAAGCAAACGACGTCCGGATCCGAAGAGTCTCTTAAACATGTGTTGGAAATAACGGGAGTCTCAAATATCGAACTAGTATAATAATAAAATAATTTATTTTTACAAGATAAGTACACTTAACTAAGTAAATTATTATAAAATAAAAAACTCCACTTTACCTTCACTTTCAATGATGTTTTTATATAAAGTGGCCTCTAATTAACGATAAATATTTTTCAAATAAAATGATACACCCAATTCAAAACCCTTAGAAAAAAATTATTCTACCTTCAGGATGTGTTTTTGTGGAAGTTATATATGGTGGCGGAGGTAGAGGTATTATTGAAAAGAATTATAAATATCAATTTAAAACATACATCCTCGAACTCGCAAAATAATATAGCCAAATAGAGTACCTACTTTTTGGTCAAAAAAGCAACAGGACTAAGCCAGGGCCAAAAGCTAGTTTCTAATTCATTGCGCAAATATCAAAACGTACCTACAAGAATCATTTTTGCAATAATTTTTATTTAATATTAATCTTGATCTGAGATAAGTATTGTTTACAAAAGCATTTACGATGAGCGCGTACATCAGACTATCGCGACGCCAACAAAATGTCAAGGCGAATAAGTGCACTACGAAATTAATAGTCGTGATGTAAGAAACTAACTGTAAGCACACTTTTAAATTACAAATCCATTTTATGATCATAAATATGAAAGTAATCTGTTTCTTCTGCTGATTTCATTTTCATCGCTAAGCGACGAAACCGATTTTGATGATAATTTGAAAATTTGATATGGATATTTCAGGATTCCTTTGAGAATTGATTCCATAATTATTATTTTTTCATCAAATCAAAAAATCATATCGTACACTTGAGATTTGTGATGGCAAATTATATACAGATGAAGAGAGTAGAAATACATACAAGCAAATAGGGTTACTAGTAGGAAATATCGACTACTATAATCGTAGCTTCTATGTCATGGTTAATAAAGGCATATGGATTAAATAAAGCTAAGTAAAAAAAAGCCGACTGTTCCTTGCCTCGTTGGTCTAATAATTAAAGTTCCGAAGATTCTGGGTTGAAGTCCCAGGTCATGTCAAGTTTAGTTACTCCATTTCCCTGTGAAGAAATTCCAACTTGATCTCTCATCGATTTTGTGGAAGATGTCGAATATCGGTGTGATGGTAATAAGAAACGCACGGACGTACACCAGTATATGGCTAGTTTTAATGATTAGGAAATCACAATTATAATCATTACCATGGTGTAATTTAGTTAGTTATTAAAAAAACTAAAAACCTGAAGTATTTATTTGTTTGTTAAAAATTTGCAAAATTCAGGTGAAGCATTAAATATTGCTGTAGTTATGCTAAATGTAAAGCATTTGCGAATGGAAGTTTATTTAGAACTAACGCACCAATAAAATTTATTTGAAAAAACTACCTATTAATATTTTCCTATTACATTCATGCATTGCATATTTTATTTTTATTATTTATAGGAAATAGTTTTAGTTTATTTTGTATTTTTCAAATTCCTATTTTACTATAGTACCTATTAGTTAATGATTGTGATTATTAATTACTAAGCAAAAAGTTTAAAAAATATAGCGTCATCTCCTATGTTACATAAAAATTTCAAGCTGCAGATTATAAATTCGATACTTGTTCCGAACTGGATTTTATTGGCTTTTTGTTTAAATTATTTACTAACACTAATTCTGCTATGTGAAAAAAACATAGTATCGTAGATAACAAATTGCTTTGTTAAAAAAAAGGTAACAACGTATAAACATATACATTATACACCATACGATTCACCATTGTCTTTGTTTTAATGCTTTCAGTTAGAAATTAACTGAATCGTAAAATTATTTAATTTTTTCTTCAAAAACATATAAATAATATATATTTTTTTTTAATTTAACAGAAAGCGTCTTCTAAGATTATATTGCAGCATGGAGGACTAATTTTAATTAAACCTATCATTTCCAGGTTGGTATTTTCCCGGATGCATATGATTGTAGAAAGTTTCATTTATGTTCACCTCCTGATGGGCTTCCAGATGGAAGACCAGCAGAACATAGAGCAGCAATGTGCCCAAGACATTATGGATATGACCCAAGCACTGCTCAGTGCTCTGTAAGTATTAATTCATTTGGCGTATGTAATATAATAGTAATATCATATTAATATTTTCTAATTGTATGTGTAAATCTTAACTAACACGAGGGAAGTGAAAGTTGACATCTTCATTTAAATGATAACCTTTTTATCAACCATATAATTCATCAAAACCTATTTTTATATTTTCGTCTGTGTATCTTTTTAAAACTGCAAAATTCAATAAGGGATTTAATGAATCTCTAAATATGTTTCCATTGTAATGTTCTTGATTAATAACTACAAGTAATGGTGATGGAAGTTTTTTTTTTCATGATATTTTGTGCTTTTCTATAAAGAGAATAAAGCTGTAAAACTATGTATAAACGACAATATCTTATTATGTTATTGTTTTCTAGATAAAATTGAAGAATGGTCAATGTAGCCAAAAACCAGTTCCAAATTGCACGAAGGTTGGTCAATCTGGCGCATTACATAGCAGCGCAAACCACTATTATGTATGCCTTTCAAGACATGGAAATTTATATCCTCAAATCTTTATCTGTCCTCATGGATGGTACTTTTGGGGCAGTTACTGTCGTCCTGAACCTGAATTTAAACCAAATGGTAGTTCAAAATGTACAGATGACAAAAAAAATGATGAAGGAACCAAAAGTAAAGAGGATACACACAGCAAAGAAAAACATGATGATATTGTTAATAACAACTTAATTAAGACGACTTCTAAGCCTATATATAAAATAGATGATTTTTTCTCAACAGAAAAAGCCATCACATATCCTGCGGACACTTTCTTAGCTGACAAATTTGATTTAACAAATTACGAGGTTATTGATGATGTACCACCAATGAATGATGAATTTGCAAATTCTTTTGAAAGTGGCAGCGATTTTTGGTAAAAAAATAACAATATTGATCCCATATATTTTATTTATTTAGTTTTTGTTGCTTTATTGTAATCATGATAATCTCATCAATTATAACAAAACTAAAGATAATCAGTATTGCCAATAAACTGCTATAATGGAAACTAGCCGCTGATTGTTGAAATACCAGCAATAAAACATAATTTGAATAATAAAATACCTATCATGTTCTTTTTTATTTGTATATATTTGTATTTTTATATTTTTTTATTGTACTTATTAAAAATTGACACTTTAGTAAGCATCTTGGGTAGTCAACGAAAATTGAAATGAGCCCAAAGAGGGGTAACTCCTAACTCCTAAAAAGTTCCACCTCCTAATACCATCGTCATTTCAGTTTAATGACCGACTAAATTACTATATTTTCATTCAAACTATAAAAGAAAACTTTCCACTATTCATGACTTAAAAACATTTATATAAATATATTGGGGTCATACTGTGTGATTTTAACATATTTCAATATTTTTTTTACATTTACTAATATAATCTTGCTCTCTTTTGGTCAGACTAAATAACAATTTATTATAATAATTTAATATTTTTTGGAATATGTGTACAACTGTACATCTATACATATAATAAAATTGTAACTAAGCCGAATCTTATTGAAATTGAGACATTATTATCGATACAGAGGCCGAATCTATAGTTTTTAGAATTTTTTTCTGTCTGTCTGCCTGTCTGTCTGTTACAGCATCACGGAAAACCCATTGGAGGGATTTTGATGAAATTTGGTATGATGATAGCTGATTATCCGGGTCAACATATAGGATACTTTTTACCGCGGAAAAATATCTCATTTCTGAGAAAAAATACAAAAATCGGATTGTAAGAGTATACTAACATCACAGATCATATAATACTATACAAGTACTAATATGTAAAACCTAAGAATTTTAGTTTTGGTCATCTGAACGCGGGCGGAGCTGCGGGAAACGCTAGTAATATACAATATGTTAAATCTCTCTAGACTATAAACTGCCTCCTTGCTCAATGCAATCTAATAATCTACAATTTAATACTCTATCGTTGCTTCAGAAAATGACAAACCAACAAACATGTCTCAGCATTTCTTATTTTAGTGAGAATAAACAAAGGCAGCGAAAGCTAAATATTTTTATCCTTTCAAGATAATCTAGCTTTTAGAAAATTGCAATTTCAGTGGAAACAACACATTCAAGTTTCTAATTGGCTTCAAGCCCAGAACTTACAAGATTAGGCTTTTAGCAGAATCCTGACTTCCTGCTTGTCGACAATCACGTTAGACGTTGTTGTCTACGAGATATCGCATCCCTATTTACTTGGACTGATGCAGGAAGATTTACAGACACATGTTAAACTTCATAAAATTTACGCGATTATTTGATATTTTAAATATTTTTTCCGACTTTCAAAAAGAAGGCCGACAATATTTTAAGATATGAATATCTAATAGGTAGATATATTTAGGTAAGAACTCTAATTATAGTTAAAATATCAATTTGTGATGTATGTTAGGTATCGAAATATATTAGATTTGCTTTGCATCGGCTGGCACCGACTTCGAAAATATCTGATTAGGTATCTATTCTAAATGAAAACCCCCGTTTAGTTATTTTTTACATTTTAGTGCCTGAAAGTCGGTTTTTATTTTATTTTTTAACTTTTAATTGGTAACGATTTAAAAAAAATTGAGCAACTATACGAACGATTACAATTTTTTTTATTTAAACAAACTTTAACTTCTAATTTAGCAACTAATATGAATGAAATGAGTAAAGCTATTAAAAAATATTTTACTATTTTTTTCCAAATTATCAAATTCAAAATAGTATGTAATAGCAATATTAACTACTAATAATTATATATTTTTTAACCTTTTTAAAAGCAAAATGGAACCTTACGAGTAATGTCACATTATGATAGTACTTCTACAAAATAAAAGACACGCTGATATCGAACTGAACTCATCTCACTGAACAAAATAAAAGTAATTTGTAAAAGGATCCTTTGAGCCAGAAATAGCCAAAAGAGTTTAAAAATATTTCATGAATATTGCAAAATTTCAAAGAGGCATGTGAAGGGAAATGCATAATACAGAAGCCCGTCCGTTATGCGGACACTGCATGTCAGTGAACAGGTAGTTATAGAAGTGATACGAACTAAGTTCATATTAAATAAAATAAATAAATATGTCGGGACATTAACACACAGCATCATCTAGTTCCATGGTAAGCTAGGCTTGTGTTATGGATACCAGATAGTTGATACACTACACATATATAACTTTTAAGTACATACATATTTTAATATAAAACTATCTTTTCGGATTTTTTGCGGATTTATTTTGATTTTTGGTTCCCAAAAATCAATAAAAAACCGTGAAAAAAACAGTTTTATTTAAAATGTCAAATATTCGCGTAAATCAAAGAAAGTATTATATACATATTATAAATATAAGCACTCATGACTGGAGTACAAACATTCGTACTCATCACACAAATGAATGCCCCCAGCAGGACTCGAACACGCGACCGCTGGCACAGCAAGTAGGATAACTACAAACTGAGCCAAGCGTTTCAAAATAATATGAAGAAATCAGTGCTAAAGTGGTCTGTCATGTGGAAATGAAAGAAATAAATATATTCTTATAACATGATATGTATATACTGTAAAAACTGAAATATTAACCTTTGATAAAATGTTTTTTCCTTTAAAACGTCCACTTTTTTTTTAATTTAATATTTTAGTTGTTTTTGTGAACAAATGGTGACATAAAATTAATAAAGATGATAATAATTATATACTCGTATGAGAAATTTGTCTGTGATTTTTTTCTTTAACTACACTAGATAATTTAACAAACTTTATTCATATTCTGAAATATTTTAGATATTACTGCACTTCTAAATATTGTTCTAAGTTGTCTACCAATTTTGCGTACCTATACTTTGAATATAGGTGATTACCAATTCTGACTTTCGGCTCCTGACAAAAAATCCAAACTTTCACCGTTTGGCTAAAAAGTACAGGTTTGATTTCCTCTTGAAGAAGTAGAATAGTATACATATTTTTTTGGCTCAGGCTTTGACTGTCTGTCTGTTCATTTATACATAATACGTAAGTAAGGACACTTAAAAATATGTTCAATTTTCTAATGATATTTTAATTATATATATATATATATATATATATATATATATATATATATATATATATATATAAATAAACTGTTTTAATATGTTTTTTGTAACTAATTTAAAAATGGGAGGAGGTATCTTATGACCATCTTAAGGGTGGCTCCGATCAGATTAATTTTGAGAAAATTTCGAGTTCTTTTTTGTTAAAAGGTAATTTTAAAGGATCTTAGAGATCTATATATGAATAAACAAAGACAGAACAATCTATACTAACCTAATAAAGAGAAATCTATACTAACCGATAAAACGTATTTAGGGGCAAACCCGATAGGAGAGAGGGCGAGTCGCTAGTATATACAATATGATTATTATTAGCAAATCAAATTAAAAACACCCTTTATATTATCCCATATACGTAAAACTTAACTAACTAAAGTACCATTAGCGATTTAATCTCTATCCCTTTTCTAAACGAAGCGTAAAGATATGGTTCCATCATTACCACTAAATGTACTGGTTACAGAATACAGAATCTTGTAAGATACGTATCCATTGCACTTTCATTAAAACAAAATATATTCACCATGTTAAATCCCTATATAAAATAAAATATTTTTTTCCACCTTTTGTTTTTTTGAAAGTTGAAGAATATTATAAATATGTGTATGTTTGTTTATTATTTCTTTATAAATTAATGGATTAACTGATTTAAGTGAAATTCAAAGTACAGGGCGAGTGGAGCCGCGACTGAAAACTAGTTTGATTATATTTTCTTCTACTTCTTAATAAACGCAGGGTATATAAAGTCCACTGTGTGTTTACCTTATTGTGGCAGGGGGCTCATTAGCGTCCGGCAATCCAGCCGGGCGTGAAGTCAAGAGATACACAGGGAGGTGGCCCACTTCGATGGGCGAAGTACCATACGGGTTGTTCCTGGTACGTCTCTGGTAGCAACCACTTGGTTGTGTGGTCTGCTTCGTTAAGCCTGATGTCGGGGTATTATGGTTGAGTGCATAAGCGATCCTGCGATTTCTGTTTCAGATATAGATTTTATAAATATGTTTTACATATTATGTCACACAAAATTTGGTAACGATTGGTTTCTTTCGCGTAGTCGTCCATTTTATGTATGTATGCATTCCTTTCAATCATTTATCTTTCAAAGTAAATTAAAACAAATAGGTTTAGATTTATGCGAATGTTACATAATAAGCTCCGTAAAGCATGCAGAACCGAAAATAAACAGTAGATGGTCATATCAAAATAATAAATATTGCCTATGCATAAGTTTGTGAATTAGTAAGTATTTAATTCTTTGCTCTGTTACAGAATAAATTTAAGTGGAATTCAAAATGTTGAAAGCTTTTATCCTATACTATGAATAACTCGTATCCCTATAAATAAAATGACAACACGTTTGGCTCAGGTTTTAGTGACCCTACTTGCTGTGTCAAAGGTCGCGGGTTCGAGTCGCGTTGGGGGCATTCATTTGTGAGATATGCACTAATGTTTCTACTCCAGTCATGGGTGTTTAAATATACAATATGTATGTATTTAAAGTTATATTTTTGTAGTGAATCAACTATCTGGTATCCATAACACAAGTCTCGTAGCTTACCATGAACTAGATAGTCCTGTGTGTTAATATCCCAACATATTTATATTTATTTATTTCTACACGAGATTTTTGTCGTCCATCACAATGCGAACTGATCTAACAAGTCCCACGCTTAAACAATCGGATACTATTCCACCAGACCTTTGTCCCTGAGCAGCATATAGTTATCGTTGCGATCTTTATGTGTGGATTAAATACATTACAGTAACAGCTTATTTAAAGTATAAATA